AAGAAGCTGGCAATTGCAAATTAAAAAATGCAACGGCCTGTTAAATTTTTTTAAAATAAAACAACAAAAATATTAATAAATTGAGAGTGGCTGTCACTTAACGGCCACTCTGAACGATATAGACTTTCAAATGGAAGGTCCCAGGATCGATTCCCATCCCAAGCATGGTCGGAATACCCTTGAAAAAAGGGCGGTCCTGGAAGGTCTCAGGATCGATTCTCATCCCAAACATGAGTCGGAATACCTTTGAAAAAAGGGTGGAACCAAGATCTAGGTGTAGCAAGGTGGAACCGGGAACAGAAGTAGATTTACAACAATTATAAGAATTGTAATTGGAATCAAATATTTGGTAATTGTAATGAGCTCAACAACAATTATAAGATAGAGACTATAAAGGACATTAAAGTCAGAATTGTAATTGGAATCAAATATTTGGTAATTGTAATGAGCTCAATAAAAGAAATTTCTTTAAAAAAAAAACATAATAATTGAAATTAAATTGGAATAAGGGTCAAATAGGCCATTGAACTACACACTTCTTTATAACTTAACTTTAAGTACTATCTCTAACGGCTAAGAGCTAACATTAAGAGATCTCTACTTAAGGCATGTTTATAAAGTTTTAGAGATCATACAGTGTACTCTTTTGTACAATTTGGATGTGTTTTCTCCTTCAGTTGTGCACATAATGTATTTTGAGAAACATCCCTTAAGGTACCGAGAATAAACATAGGGTTTGTTCATAAAGGACCTAAGTTGGAGAATTAAAATGCATGTGACCATAGTGGATATTACTCTGATTAAATAGAGGACATGTCACTATGATTCGTGTGTTTTGTTCTTTGGTGAGGTTGTGCTAGTACTTGCACCAAGTGGGAGAATGTAATATTTTCCCTAATAATATATATTATATATTATATATTAGGGCCTTAATTAAGTGGTGCAAGTTGACTAGGCTTATTAAGTGGTTTGGTTGGATTGAATAACTAGAAGTTGTTAGTCCACCAAACTCTGTGCCTAATATAATCCTGGATTGATGGGATATAGGATGATTGATGTTAGCACATTCAGTTACGGTACTCAGACTGCTCAGTAGACACCAATACACCATCTAGGATTCTGAGTCAGGTCTGAGGCAAAACATGGCTAACGGTCTATCGTTAAAGAGGCAACACAACAGGAACACCAACTATGGCTGGAGATCTACATGGCTACGCTTCCGCTCTTATACGAGGTCAGATCTCTCGTATACTGTTATTCATTATAGTTATACTATTTAGATCTAACATTTGGCATGAAACTACAATTAGGCCAAGACAAAATCATACAATTAAATCAAAGTGACTTGTTTGACCTCATATCCGCTGATGTGGCAGTCATCAAATTTTTTAAAAATATATTTTTATATTTTTTGAAGGGAAAATATATTTTTTATATCTTTTAATAATTTTAAATTAAAAATATATATCTTTTAATAATTTTAAATTAAAAAAAAAAACTCCCAAACCCCCGTCGTTGACTGCATTTCTCACCAGCCACAACCACCGCATTCTGCCGCCAACGCTACTATGTATAATCCTTTGTTATCTAAACCGTTCAAACCAGCTTTCAGGGCGCTTCCCGGCGAACTCAACTCAACCCCAACCGTAATCCAAACTATAAACCCATGTCTATGGCGGCAGGTGGGTGTGGGGAGCGTCTACTAAAACCCACGTTGTAAGTGAATCCACCATCACATGTGATCTTCTATGTAGAAAACTTGATTGTATAAGCACAGTTTTTCTTTTACCAAAAGGCCAATTAATTTATAATCAGGATGAAATGTTGTTTCGCACAACTATACTCCTCAAGCATTATAAATCTCAATTAACAGAGTTAAGAAAAAACCAAAATCAGTACAGGAGCCTACTGCTGCAAGCTAAGCTATTCATTAACTCCCAATTTTTTTTTGAAAAAAAAATCCCAAACCCCCCTTCGTACAATGTGGGCTTGATCAGACGCTCCCCATCCCCACTTGCTGCCGTTGCACCACTAACATGGATTTGATTGCCCCCGGTCAAATCGCAACCAGGGGCACTTTGTTGGCTATTAGATGAGGCTAACATGGGTTTAATGTCAGGTCTTACAATTTTGTACTATGGCTGTGGTTGAGTTGTGTTCACAGGGAAGTGACGAGAGAGCTTTTTCGCACATTTTAGATAACAAAGGATTATACATGGCAGCGTTGGCGGCTTAATGCGGTGGTGGATGTGGTGTTGTGGGCAGTGGGAAATGCAGTCAATGACGGGGTTTGGAGTCTTTTTTTTTTTTTTTTTAATAATTTAAAATTAGTAAAAGATATTAAAAATATCTTTTAAAATTTTGGTAATTGCCACGTAAGCAGATATCTGGTCAAACAGGTCACTTTTGATTTAATTGTATAATTTTATCTTGTTCAGGGATCTAATTGTAAATTTTTTTGAGTTGAATGACCCAATTACAATTTTGTGTGTAATTCAGTGACCTATTTGACCTTTATTCCAATTAAATTCAATAATAAGGCATAAAAGTCCAACCAAACGCCACCCAAGATTGTCCATCACAGTTCAGAAGCTTCCTTTCAAGGGAGAAAATAATGCTGCACAAAATTTCCATTCTTTATCGCCAATCAATGAAAATCTTTCTCCATCTAGTAGGTGGTTTGGTGTGTAATCACTAGCTTAAATGAGCCAATGAGGGGTCCCTTTTTGGTCAAATTATGGTATGGTTGTTGATATGGAGTAATAATCAAATTTAGAATTAATTCTTCTGGTCCCACATTTTTTAGATTCTATTAATTTTGGTGCATAACTTTAAAAATTTTTAATTTTGGTATCTAACTTTGTTATTTTTATCAATTTTTGTTTTTTTGGCTAAATTGACTGTGAAATATTGCCTGATTTTATATTTTTGGAGGTGAAATCGTCATCCCAAGGTAACATCTTCAATATCTAAGCAAAATCACTGTAAAATCATATTTATAAGTGTTTGATCAATGAGAATAATGGGCAAGACGGGCAGAAATTAGACACAGATCTATGAGATTTATAGCATCAACGATTGACAAACTCTTCTTTTTTTCTTAATATGATTTTTATTTTGTTTAGATATTGAAGATCTTTCATTAGAATGACAATTTTGCTCTGAAAATATAAAATTCGGTAATATTTCGCTGTCAATTTGACAGGAAGAACCAAAATTGATAAAAATAACCAAGTTAGGCACCAAAAATGAAAAAATTTATAGTTGTACACCAAACATGATAAGACCTAAAAAGTCGTGGAACCAAAAGTGAAATTAATTTTAAAATTTAATTAGATTATGGATTTTTTTTTAAAAAAATGAACTAATTCAATATTTTTAGACCACCAGGTGTCTAGAATAATACAAAGGGATAAAGTACAAATAAGCCACTAAACTATTTGGGAAAAAGCAATTAAGCCATCGAACTCAAATAACCCACAAATAAGCCATTGAACCCGGGAAAAAAGAGCAATTAACATTTTTAACAGATTAACTCCAGGTTTTTGCTGACTGTATGCCAAATGTTTATTTTATTTACATTATTTTATTATTATAATCCATCTACATAGTAATATATTTTAAAGTAATTATAATCAAAGTACTTTTGTCTTGTCTATATCTAATTTATTTATTTATTATTATTTTTAAACAAAAGATCTAGTGAAAAAATAATAATAAACAAACAAATCAAATCTTGACAAGACAAAACTATTTTGATTATAATTATTTTAAAATATAATACTATCCAAGTGGATAATATTAATAAAAAAAATAATAATAAACGTAAATAAAATAAACATTTGGCAATCCAATCAGCAAAAACCTGGAGTTAACCTGTAAAAAATGTTAATTGCTCTTTTTTTCAGGGTTCAATGGCTTATTTGCTCTTTTTTTCCGGGTTCAATGACTTATTTGAGGGTTATTTGAGTTCGATGGCTTAATTGCTGTTTCTCAAATAGTTCAGTGGCTTATTTGTACTTTATCCATTTTTTAAATATTAAAACTTGATTTAAATTTTTTAAAAATATTTATAGTTTGTGATAATAACTATGTGCAAATTATACTATAGACTAGAGTCCATCTTATATTGTGAACCTAGTCCAAAATAGTATATACGATTAACTCATTATATACGTTCAATTAATATATTATATACATGTAAATAAATTGAATATAGATAATATGTAAATTGTAATAGGTATATCATTTACACACACATACACACATGATAATTACAAAAATTTCAAGTGAATAACAAGCCAATTGTTATGCTTTGCAACCGCGTGCACCATGCATGGTGCACACGGTTGCGAACTACGTCGTCTCACTATGGTGGAGTAACGGTGCCGTTAGTGGCACCGTTTAACTCCACCAATCAATTTTATTTTTTTAAAACTCCAATCTGCAATAAATCAAAACAGAGAACCAGTAATCGGTGTGGATATATAGTTCACTATTCTGGATATATAGTTCATTAATTCTGGATATATAGTTCACTAAGTCTGGATATATAGTTCACTAATTCTGGATATATAGTTCACTAATTTTGAATTTATAGTTCATTAATTCTGAATATATAGTTCATTCATTCTAAATGCACAGACGCAGCGAACTGCCATAAGCCAAAACAGAGTACCAGTAACCGGTGTGGATATATAGTTCACTAATTCTGGATATATAGTTCATTAATTCTGAATATATAGTTCATTAATTCTGGATATATAGTTCAAATTATGCACAACATAACGCCGTTAATGGCAATCGAAAATGAATTTTTTTTTTTTAAAGTCGTACGATGTCGTTTTTAATCAAAATGATGCCATTTTGCAACCGTGTGCACCATGCATGGTGCACATGGTTACACGGCATAATTCGCCATAACAAGCTTGATTGGCTTAAATGGTCGTGCACTCTCATCCCTTAAGATAAGAGATTAATAGTTCAAAATTTCCTATCATATAGAAAAATTAATATAGCCAACACTTTCGTGGCTAATGCCGACCCGATGTAAACAAGAATTAATTTGAATTAAAGTACAAATAAGCCACTGAACTATTTGAGAAACAGCAATTAAGCCATCGAACTCAAATAACCCTCAAATAAGCCATTGAACCCGGAAAAAAAGAGCAAATAAGCCATTGAACCCTGAAAAAAATGAGCAATTAACATTTTTTACAGGTTAACTCCAGGTTTTTGCTGATTGGATTGTCAAATGTTTATTTTATTTACGTTTATTATTATTATTTTTATTAATATTATCCGCATGGATAGTATTATATTTTAAAATAATTATAATCAAAATAGTTTTGTCTTGTCGAGATTTGATTTGTTTATTTATTATTATTATTTTTTCACTAGATCTTTTGTTTTAAAAAAATAATAAATAAATAAATCAGATATAGACAAGACAAAACTACTTTGATTATAATTACTTTAAAATATATTACTATGTGGATGGATTATAATAATAAAATAATGTAAATAAAATAAACATTTGGCAATACAGTCAGCAAAAACCTGGAGTTAATCTGTTAAAAATGTTAATTGTTCTTTTTTTTCGGGTTCAATGGTTTATTTGTGGGTTATTTGAGTTCGATGACTTAATTGCTTTTTCTCAAATAGTTCAGTAGCTTATTTGTACTTTATCCCTTTAAAAAAAAAAAAGAAAAGAAAAAAGATGCTCCACTCTGAGCGTCTCTGCCAAATGAGAACGTTAAAAAGTTAGAAACTTTCATTAATGTGGCAATAAAAACCACATAGGAATATAAGATCCTTATCCTCCCGAAGACCACTCGGCTTGGAGTTGACTTTGTTATATTCCGGCGAATTTGGTTTTCGTATCTTCCGCCGGCCGCCGGTAATAACACAATTTTGAGTAAGAAGATAGCCATCACAGTTTTGAGAATCAACAAATCCTTACTTCAATTAAACCTCAAAATCATTGCCCAGAATGCTCACCTCAACCCAAATCTTCACACTCTTCATCTTCATTTTCCCCTTATATGGAGACTCCCAGCCCAGTAGCATCATTTCTGAAAGATCAATTCTTCTTGATTTAAAGAAGCACTTTTCAAACCCACCAAGCACTTCTCACTGGAATTCTTCATCAGACCACTGTAACTGGCCGGAAATTACCTGCCGGAACGGCGTCGTCACCGGAATTCAGCTTGGTTGGCTAATGATCAATGACACAATCCCACCCTTCATCTGCGACCTCAAAAATCTCACTCTTCTTGATCTCAACCACAACCTAATCCCTGGGCCATTTCCTACATTTCTGTACAATTGTTCCAACCTTGAAAACTTGGACCTTTCTTTTAACAACTTCAATGGCATCATCCCTGATGATATTACCAAGCTTTCGCCTCGGCTCCAGGTTCTTAATCTATCTGCTAACTATTTCATGGGTGGAATTCCAGCTGGAATTGGAGGCCTAAAAGCTCTAAAGGAGCTTCAGCTAGCTGGAGTGGTGTCAAATGGCTCATTCCCTTCAGAGATTGGCAACTTGTTGAATCTTGAAGTTCTTGTTCTGAGCCAGAATGGGTTTTCACCACAGGAAATCCCACCAAGTTTTACCCAGTTGAAGAAACTGAGACACCTGTGGATGAAAGAGGCCAACTTGATTGGCAAAATCCCGGGAAATATCAGCAGCTTGGAAGCACTAGAGTTCCTGGATTTAAACACAAATGACTTGAGTGGAAACATTCCCAGTGACTTGTTTCTGCTCAAGAATTTGACCACGGTTTTCCTCTACAAGAACAGGTTGTCAGGGCCTATTCCTCGCCCAGTTATGGCCTTGAATTTGAATGCAATTGATTTTTCTAATAACACCCTGACAGGGAGCATTCCAGAAGACTTCGGGAATCTGGCAAAGTTGGAGGGATTGACCTTGTACATGAATCAATTATCAGGCCAAATACCAGTAGGCATTGGTAGATTGCCAGCATTATCTACTGTTAAAATTTTCATGAACAATCTGTCGGGTGAACTCCCACCAGATTTTGGTCGATTTTCAAAGCTTCAACTTTTTGATGTTTCCACAAACCATCTTACAGGATCACTACCAGATGGTTTGTGTGATAATAAGGTGTTGTTTGGCGTTTATGCTTTTAACAACAATCTTACGGGCGAGTTACCAAAATCATTTGAGGATTGCAACACCTTGAGAGGAGTCAGGGTTGAGAGAAACAATCTTTCTGGTACAATTCCTGATGGGTTGTGGACAGCTAGGGATTTGACAAGGTTGGTGATTAACAATAACCAGTTCACTGGTCAGCTGCCACAAAAAGTGGCATCAAATTTATCTCTAGTTGATATCAGCAACAACCGATTTTCGGGTGAAATTCCACCTGAAATCTCTTCTTGGAGCAAGCTAGATACCTTCAGGGCAAGCAATAATCTCTTGACAGGTAAAATTCCTCAAGAACTCACGGCTCTTAGATCTTTATCAGTCCTTATGCTTGATGAGAATATGCTTTCTGGAAAATTTCCTTTGAATATTATATCTTGGAAGTCACTGGCCACATTGATATGCAGTAGAAATCAACTTTCCGGTACAATCCCTCCTTCACTAGGTCTTTTACCAAACCTTAATCAGCTAGACCTGTCTGAAAACCAATTCTCCGGGGAAATCCCACCTGAAATAGGCCATTTGAAACCAACTTCACTTAATCTGTCCTCCAATCACCTCTCGGGGGAAATCCCTGATGAATTTGAAGTTGCAGCTTTTCAAAAGAGCTTCTTGAATAATCCTGGTCTCTGTGCTACTACCCCCTCATTAGGTCTCAGGGATTGTGGGGCAAAAACTGAGAAATCCAACAAGATTTCAGCCAAACTTATTGCTATTCTAGGAAGTATAGCAGCATTTTTATTTCTAGTGGCTGTTCTATATATGGTGTATGTGTTCAGAAGTTACCAGAAAAGAAAAGGAGCATTATTGGTTCAAGATTGGAAGCTCACACCATTCCACACTTTAAGCTTCACAGAATCGAACGTTATACCAAATTTAGCAGAGAAAAATGTGGTCGGGAGTGGTGGATCAGGGAAAGTTTATGTTGTGGCCTTAAGTACTGGAGAAAAAGTTGCTGTTAAGAGGATTTGGAACAACCACAAGTTGGACGAGATGCTTGAGAAGGAGTTTCAAGCAGAAGTTGGGATACTGGGCACAATTCGTCATTCCAACATAGTGAAGCTTTGGTGCTGCATTTCAAGTGAAGAATCAAACCTACTTGTTTATGAATACATGGAAAATCGCAGCCTGGATCTTTGGCTTCATGCAAAGAGAAGATCACCCGACCAGTTCCTGGATTGGCGTACTAGGCTGCACATTGCAATTGGAGCAGCTCAAGGGCTGTCTTATATGCATCACAACTGCTCACCACCAATTGTTCATCGAGACGTGAAATCCAGCAATGTTCTTTTAGATTCAAAGTTCAATGCCAAGATTGCAGATTTTGGGCTCGCCAGAATATTGAAGAAGCATGGAGATCCCAACACAGTGTCCACCGTTGCTGGCTCCTTTGGCTATATAGCTCCTGGTAAGTCAAAATATATATGTTGCCACACTTCGAATTTTGTAAGTAAACCATTTAATTTGTTCAATGTTGATTTCAGAGTATGCACATACTAGCAAAGTGAACGAGAAGATTGATGTGTATAGTTTCGGGGTGATCCTTCTGGAACTGGTGACAGGAAGAGAGGCGAATGATGGAGATATGGATTGGTGCCTGGCAGACTGGGCACGATACCATGTTCAAGAAGGACATCCAATTGTGGATGCTCTAGATGAGGAAATCAAGGAGGTAGAGAACATAGATGAGATGTGTGGAGTGTTCAAGCTAGGGATATTCTGCACTGGTGCAAATCCAGCTAAAAGGCCTACCATGAGAGAGGTGTTGCAGTTCCTCCTCCATTGCAGCCCTCAATCAGGAAATGGAAAAGAAATAAGTGTTAGTGAGCGCGATGTTTCACCGCTGCTCAAGAGTCCTAGTAGTGAAGGGGCATTGGAAGATGAATATGATCATCGTTTGAAGCCATTTGTTGTAGTTGAAAAATAAACTGCAACATGTGTTTGAGGGGTTGGGCAAGGATCTGGAGTTTGGACTGTCCTTGAATAGTCCTGTGGAAACTGCTCAATCATGCACTGCCGTCTCAGCCTTTATTGAAGTACATCAAGTTCGGTGATGCTGTGAGCCGTGAAAGTGCGTGGGAGGATTATAGTTTGTGTGGGAGCCTGGCTATGTTTTTTGAGGTGACGAGGGAAACCCGCAGTCACTATCCGAAGGTGTGTGCTTGGTAAATTCCGCATTGTGACCCTAGCCAGCAAAGGACCACAAGGAAGTAAATCAGCCTAGGTTGTCCATTGCAGACCGGCTCAAATCAAGAGAGCTGAGATTCGAACAACTGGGATTCGAACTTGTGACTTTGTGGTTACAAGTTTGTTCCCTTGGCTATCTCGCTATTGCTGGCGCGGGAGGAATAAGCTTTTGTATGATCGTGACGCGAGTTGGTCTGTATCTAGCGAAAGAATGTTTAAGGGAAATTTTTGATGAAACTCAAACATGGAAGTCTCGATGAACTCAGAAAAATCAAAAGTCTTAAGGTGAATGTTGATGGGAAATGTGAATGTTAGAGGTTAGTCACTTAGTTGGGTGTTAGGATGGAATGGATTTGTGGTTTTTGAAGTATAGAATGTATAATGCTTTGAGTCTTATAGTCAAGTTTTAGAAGTATTTATTATGAGTTGTTGAGTTGGAATAAGGGATTTCATTTTGTAGTGGAGAAGGTTGCGAAGGGAGGGAACAACAAAGACCATATCTACATCTCATTAATGTTATTATGGAGCTTATATATAGAACTTGATTGGAGATGCAAAATCATGACTATTGGGAGACTAATAGGTGTGATAATTGAATTTTGAGTTCACAGATTGTGTCCACTTTTTTGTTGGCTAATGTTATTGTAGTCGCTCTTCCTTTCTTCCATGTGTTTTGTAGGGTTAATCTACTTGCTTAGTTTGTTTCTGGAGTTTAGAGAAAATAAAAAGAGAAGGTATAATAGTTAAGAGGAAATTGACTGTAAAACATTACTTTACTCAATTTGTATATAAGGCTTTTTTCGGGGTAGTTTTGGTATGTAAGAGTTTTTTTTTTTTGGGTAACTAAATGTTATCCTATAGTCTATATATTTTATACTTTTTAAAATTTTTTCAAGATTAAAGAATCAATATCTTATTATTGGGATTCAATTTTATGACTACTTATATAAAATGGAAATAGAGATATCATCACAATACAAAACGTTATCTTGTATATCGGTATATGTAGGTAAATATTGATTTTAAGTAATAGTTAGTAGAATTTGATATCACGTGATTTTTTGTATGAATTTGGTCTTTATTAAAATTTAAAGATCTTATTTCACCAAAAAAAAAAAAAAATGTAAAGACCTTAAATAATCTTCTTTAACGAAGACTTAGTTCATAAATTGCCATATCTGCATTGCTTAACGCCAACAACCAATCACTATTATGGTATGTTTGGTTCATGGAATATGCCAAGAATGGAATAACATTTATTGAAATAGATCTATTTCATTGATTGGTTAGTTATTTTATCATGAAAATAACATTCCTATGAATATGCTATTACCTTTGTATGGGGAATAATCATTCTTAAGAGGACCTTTGGCAGGACCCCCAAAAATTGGGGGCCCATATTAAAATAAAAAAAAATTATGATGTATATATACAGCATATAAGAGCCTTAAGCAGCATTACCGTCATAAATTTCATAATACGCAACCGGCCAACCCTTTTTCCTTTGGCGCAAGTACGCAACCCTATGTCCCCTATCTCACTATCTGCCTATTACCCCTAATCCTAATTAAATCCCCTATGCCCCTAATGCATTATTATGTATACAGTATGTCAGTATATTAGCTTGAGACCTTGAGTTCATTAACAAAATCACTGTTTATTTAATATTTACCCAAATCTCACAAACAACTTTAGATAGATCACACACGACAGACACAATTTGATAGAATTAAAGAATTCTTTTTGATTACACAAAGTCATAAATATTCAAGTTCTTCAGTTCTCTTAACAGGTAATTAAAATTATTAAATATTTCACAATTCTTATTTATTATTTTATTTACATGACTTAATAATTCTTATTTCAGAATAATATATTCAAGAATTTATTTTTTGATTAATTATTTGTTAGTTTTCTAAATAAATTTTTATTTTTTCTTTAGGGTTTTATAATTATGTCTTTTATAAAATATCATTTGGGTTTGAGAAGCGTAAAAGAAAAGAAGAATTGAGCAACTAACTCAATCTCAAAATGGAGCTCTTGAAAAATTCATTACAAAAGAAACTCAAACAAATATGCAAAAAGATGATGGCAAAAAAAAAATGTCAAATATTAATCTTCATATAGAATGTCAAGATGATTATGAGATTGGAAAAAATTTAAATGATAGTGTGCACAACGATGATAAGTATCACTGTAACAATGAAAATAATAAGAATTTTGATAGTTGTTTAGATGATGTTGGTCACAATGATAAACTAAATGATTTGCTTTTATCTGATATATATGATCTAAAAAATTGGGATATTTGTGAAAGATGATCCTAAAAGAGATTTATCAATAAATAAAAGCCCTAAAGATAAATTCTCTAGAAGATTTTCCTTAGCATTTTAAATTTGTTTTTATACAATATTTATATTTTGAATTTTTGACACAATTTTTGAACAACTATTATTTATATATATAAATTATGTAAAAAAGGGGCCCAATTTAGTATATTGCACAGGACCCCATTTTTTATTGGAACGACCCTGTCCTTTGGTATTAGCTATTCCATGCTCTTGAGAATAGTTTTTATATATCACAAATACACCCTATGGAATTTTTATTTGATTTTAGTATGTCTATTTTTTTTAATGAATGTCTTATTTTAGCAAAATATTAAAATATTTTATTTAGTTTGTTGGAAATTTTGGGCGTGCAACCATTATTAATACGGTGCTCTAACGAACTAAGTTAATAACCCACTTGTTTTTTTTTTTAATTTCATTTAAGATATAAATTCTACTTTGCTAATTCCTTTTGCAAGGTTCCAAAGACAAAATATATGGAAAAATCTACAAAAGCCAGCCAAAAGACTAAAATAATTTAATTAGGTTGAAGCTAAGGTATGTGGCGCCTAGAGGTTAGATTTTTCTGCAATTAAATTTTGTAAAGTGGTTGTTGGAACTTGGAAGTATTGGAATTGATTTACTATGTTCAAGGTTAAATTAGTATCAACAAATTGGAATGGTAGTGGCCAGAGTAGTTCCTTATTCTTGTTAAGTTATTAGCTTCTAGTTAATTTTTTTTTTTTTAATAAATTTAGTTGTGTGGTTAACTACTGTCATTATTATTTTTTCTATTAAATCACATTAAAGCTCATTTGAAAAAAATTGAATAGTGAAATTCGAGTAATTAAATTAGTCTGAAAAATATTAAAATAATTTAATCAGAGTAGTTTTCTATTTTGATCATAATAGACCATTAAACTGCAAGTCACTATTATTTTGTTAAATGGAAGAAATTTTGTAGTTGAAGTATCATATCACTCTTATGGCACCTTGCATCCTGCATTCATCATGAAAGAATATAAAATTAATTATAAATAATGTAAAAAGGAAGAATCAAACTAGACATTAATTTCTTATCTTCTAGCATAAATTCAATCATAAAGCTTTATCTTATTCTTTTCCACATCTCATTATATTCTCACATCTAATCATGCCAAATGCGACCAAAGATTCTATTGGCACAAAAAAATTTCATGATCTGAATTAGATTTTGGATTAGGAATATTATATTGTATTTGGCCCTTTGATGATGAGCTTTTTAGAAAACTTTTTAGATCAGAGTATTTTATTGTTAAATTTCTAGATAGTCATCATTGGTTAGCGCACTCAAAAGGTCAATAAATTATATATGAAAATGAGATTTATAAATTAAATCGGATGCTTTTAATAAAGACTAAAGGCATCGGAAAAAGTAGGCAATTGGTAAGTGTCATGTGACAGACCAATAAATCTAGAATATCATTGACTTCACTGTTTTCTATCTTTGAACTGACTCATACATAATTAATTAGTCAATTGTGTTTTGCAAATAATAGTAGTGGTAGTATTTAATAATATATAATTATAATTCATGGAGTAGGTGTATGAAAATGTCTCCCGATGAGAAATAAGTGTGGAATCATGCTTCGATAGAACATTCCAGTTCTTGCTAGCTATGATTTTCAGTACGACGCATGGGAGAGATGCAACCTTTTGATAGTTCCTGGCTTCTCAAGGTTGTAAATTCTTCAATTGCACAAAGTGTGCTCTATATTGAGTTAGCTAAGGATATTTGAGAGGATTTGAAGAGTTGATTTTCACAAGTAGACACTAGTAAATAATTGTACATTGGCCACTGTTGTAAATGGTTTTTCGCAACTGTTGTACAATAGTCGCGAATGTTAGGTCACAGAAAGCGTTGGACTTTTCGCGACTATTGTGGAACAGTCGTGGAAAAGTTTGTCATCCACGACCGTTCTTCACTTAGAACGGTCGCGAGTTTTTTTTTCATAGGTCATCCGCAACCGTTCTTAGCTAAAAAGGGTCGCAGATATTTTTAAATTTTTTTTTTAAAAAAAAAAACTATAAGCTATTCTAGGCTAAGAACAGTCACGGAGAGCTTTTATTTTTTATAAAAAGAATATCATCTGCGACTGTTCTATATGAAGAACAGTCGTATGATTATATTCTTTAAAATATTTTATTTATTTTAATTAATGTCCATAATTTTTTTAATACAATATTATCATCAATACTAATACTATAATATCATCAAAACACAATACTTTTAACACAAAACTATCATCAAACTTTATACTAACACAATGTTGGAAATTGGTGAATAAATCGATACACAAAAATATATATATATAATATATATTTGTCCCAAAAAATGGAATTTAATTTATAGAAAATTAATTCCAACCAATTTTGGTACGAAACCAAAAAAAAATTACATATATATGCCACGTATATATATTAACCAAATAGGGATTTATTTTATCAAAATAATCCCACCACAACTAGTACGAAACTAGTATACGGGACTTAATTTTCACGAAATTAATCCCACCACAACTAGTACGAAACTAGTACAAGGATTTAATCTATCCAAGATTAATCCTACCACTTGGTCTGAAACCAAGAACAAAAAATAAACAAGAGACGGGTTTCTAACCTGAGGTTTAACCCAACGCGAAGAAACAAGAAGAAGCAGATGAAGCCCGAGTCGTGTGTACACACACTCTCCTTAAAACCGATTCGTCACCTCTCGAGGGTGCTAGGATCGTTGTGGCGTCAGTCTCCCAGGATAAAACGGACTACGACTTTGGCGTTCGAGCACTCCAACCCAAAGCCCGGCGAACTAGAACACAAGTTGAGCACTCCGATATTTTACGGAATTGTTGGCAGAATTTTTCTCTTTTGAAATCAAGGAGAGTAGAGAGAAAAGCAATAGTTGTGTTTTTGAGTTTCAAGAATCGCGTAAAACATTCTGCCAACATCACAAGATATATGTAGGGAGAGAGGAATTAATTAGCATTATCATAGCCATTAACCAACATAAATCCAAGATTTAATAATTGGATAATAACGTTTGAAACGGTCGTAATTATTATCGTAATAATTCCAACGGTCACGAACTTAATACGCGATTAATTCGTACCGACCACAACGACCCGTTTCAAAATATCTGAGTGACCGAGAAGTCCGTACAAACCCGAAAGGTTAACGAATTGGGACTGGAAACCACACCCGAGAGTGGTCCACACGCACCGAAACGGTGCAGCACGAATCAATGCATATAGCATTGACTCGTGCCAACTCATGTTG